TGACGGGGATTCGAACCCGCGACCCTCAGATAACGAGTCGAGCGCCCTAACCACCTGGCCATGCCTTTAGATATACTCTCACAGAGGGCGCGATTTCTTTATAAAACTGTATAACACAAACATTAGTAGTTCTTATAACTGTTTTAGAATCTCACCTTATAAGGAAAATTGTTATTTATGAATAAATCGCGTGGAAAGTGTGCGTTGATTTCTCATGAAAAAATAATAATAACACATGCAGGTCACGTGGAAACTGTGTGTCAACTTCTCACGTACACACTTTAATATAGAAAGACGTGCAGGTCACGTGGAACTTGATGTCAACTTCTCATTCTGATTGACAAGTTACAATCATCTGTCATAACATAATATCAACACAATTATTTGTTTACCCAAAACGTGTCTCAAGAACTCGTTAGTGATACAGCAAAAAATTAACTAATTAAACGACAGATTACAATATAAATGGCCGTTTTTAGTAGTTCTAACATGAATCAGTGGTTTTTATTCACTTAATTATTGTATTTTATAGAATATAGACGAGTGGTCGTTCGATGTTTTTGCCGTTAACGAAGTGGCCAATGGACACGTTCTACGTTACATTAGTTACGACTTATTGAACCGCTATGACATCCTACACAAATTCAAGGTAAGAATACCGCCAGAAATATACTTACTATTTATAAATTATAGAGTTTTCAAAGACAAGTATATTTCCAAGAGCAGAACAGAAGTTACTGGACTTTTTCATACACCTGTTGAGAAGCTGTAACAACACGATACTGTTTCTATTACTGTCAAAGGCTCCAACAATAGACGCGCCAGAAACACATGTTTGGGGGGGATTATTTTAAGACTTCAATTCCTCCCGAAATGCTCTGACAAAGTTTATTTTATTTTTCCAACTGAGCCCCACCTTGAAAACCATTAAAGCAAGATGATAAAACTCTATTCTCTACTTGTTATTGTTTTGAATAACACGCCCCCCCCCCAGAGGCCCTATTTGCACTGCTTTTTTTTTCTTTTTTTTTGTGGCTTGACCAGTTTTTCTTTATTATCGCTTATGTTCCAAGGTTTTTACAGCCCGCCAATATATTATTTGAATTCCTGGACTTTTGTGTATTAGTAACCAATGAAAACAGTTCTTACCGATATCCCGTGTAATTATATCATTGTATAACACTCATTTTACCAGTGATGGAAACATCTCGTGCTCTCTTTGCTCGTTCTTCATGATTAGGTAGTTTACACAGAATTTTTAGGTTGCGTGTATGCTAATCACATGTGAGTATTGTACTGACTTAGAAAGAAAAGCATATAAAAGCAGGATGTCACAAAATAAGTATATGATGTAGGTGTGTTTCAAGAGTCATGCCGTGGGGATACACGAAGAGGGACTAAAAGTCAGGTAAATTAAAATCGCTCTACTGCTCAAATTCATTCTTACATTTTCTTAAAATCTTCCCTCACAATGATTTGTTTGTTTGAAAATGACCGCAAGGGAGTAGCAATTAGACTGCAGTATTTGGTAACAATTGGACTACAATATTTGTTAACAATTAGACTAGAGTATTTGGTAACAATTAGACTACAATACTTGGTAACAATTAGACTACAGTATTTGGTAACAATTGGACTACAATATTTGTTAACAATTAGACTAGAGTATTTGGTAACAATTAGACTGCAGTATTTGGTAACAATTAGACTACAATACTTGGTAACAATTAGACTACAATATTTTGTAACAATTGGACTACAATATTTGGTAACAATTAGACTGCAGTATTTGGTAACAATTGGACTACAATATTTGGTAACAAGTAGACTACAATACTTGGTAACAATTAGACTACAATATTTTGTAACAATTGGACTACAATATTTGTTAACAATTAGACTAGAGTATTTGGCAAGAATTAGACTGCAGTATTTGGTAACAATTAGACTACAATACTTGGTAACAATTAGACTACAATATTCTGTAACAATTAGACTACAGTATTTAATAACAATTAGACTGCAGTATTTGGTAACAATTAGACTACAATACTTGGTAACAATTAGACTACAATATTCTGTAACAATTAGACTACAGTATTTAATAACAATTAGACTGCAGTATTTGGTAACAATTAGACTACAATATTTGGTAACAATTAGACTACAATATTTTGTAACAATTAGACTACAGTATTTGTTAACAATTAGATTAGAGTATTTGGTAACAATTAGACTACAATATTTTGTAACAATTAGACTAGAGTATTTGGCAACAATTAGACTACAGTATTTGGTAACAATTAGACTACAATATTTTGTAACAATTGGACTACAACACTTGGTAACAATTAGAGTAGAGTATTTGGTAACAATTAGACTAGAGTATTTGGTAACAATTAGACTAGAGTATTTGGTAACAATTAGACTACAATATTTTGTAACAATTGGACTACAACACTTGGTAACAATTAGAGTAGAGTATTTGGTAATAATTAGACTACAATATTTGGTAATAATTAGACTACAGTATTTGGTAACAATTAAACTACAGTATTTGGTAACAATTGGACTACAATATTTGATAACAATTAGAATACAGTATTTGGTAACAATTAAACTACAATATTTGGTTTCCTAGTCGTCACCTGTTATCTTTAATACTATTATTTCTATGGCTGAGTAGTGGTTAAGGTTCGTATTCTTAAAATAGTTTTTGAGAAGATCTGGTCACGGTTTAGTTTGAACCATATCTCTCTGTGCTTCACAGACTAAAAAGGATTATATATGTGATACATGAAAGACAAGCCTAAACATGGTGAAGAATGAAAAGACGGGTTTCGTAAAGAAAATAAACCTTGTCTTGTTCCAAGAATAATTTTAATCGTAGAATCAAATTCCTTTTTATTTTTAATTACTGGACAAAGTTTGATAATTTTGTAATAAGAATTATGAATTGTCTTTTTTTTCTTCTTCTCTGTATTATCTGCGCAGATTCCCACGGCAGTTTTGGAGAATTTTTTGGTACAGGTTGAGCTGGGATATGGAAAACACAAAAATCCCTATCATAACAACATCCATGCTGCTGACGTCACCCAGACCGTGCATTTCATGATTTGGCAATCTGGGTTAGCGGTAGGTATTGGTGACTGTAACCAATTACTTTTGTTTTTCTCGCTCCAGTTGTTAAATTAAAACATTTAAACAAAGATCAAGCAGTATTCGAACCCCGGATATTGCTTTCCAAACAGGTGCTTTGATAAATTGAAGAAGAAAAAAAAACTGAAATGTATTTGAAATGTTAACCGCTATAAATACCAAAGATAAATTATACATATATGTCATTGTCCATTTAATTGGAGAACTCACCGGATTTTCCATCAGGAAGACTCAGGATCGAATCCCGACTACTAACTTACAGATACTATCCAATATTTAGATAAACCGCTGAAACCTCAAATCTAGACTATCTCCACCTATTTCTTTGAGTCAGCTCATGTTATCAATTCACTAATGTGTTTTTAGGCTTATTCAATATCTTCTTAAGCATGCTAGGGAGGTCAGAGTGACCGTTGAGTTAGGCCTAACAGCAGAGAGTTGTACGTATTCAGATATTTTTCTTTTCTAAATAGCTGTACTGTTACGTAAAATACAGCACGATGGCCGAACCATTAAACATTTCTATGTTGACAACACGTCTTTTTAGTTTCAATGAAAAATATAAAATTTTTGTTATTTTCCACACAACTGCTCGCGATTTCACTTCTACATAAATCAACTTCCTAACTCCCCACTAGAGAAGCAGGGCCACAACAGCTGTAACAGCCATGCGCACAGCTGTAACAGACATGCTACGCAGAGAATCGAAATAGGTCTTATCGGTCATAAAACATGAGAACAGCTCAAAATAAAGCAAAATGGATAATAGACACGTTGAAATAGTTTCCTACAGACAGCCCTTTCATCAGCTCGAGAAGTCGGGGCTCTGTATGTGAATAAAAGCGCGGTCCTAAAAGAAAACACTAAAGAATTGTGATTCATTACTTGTTGTGAGGACATTAGTTCATTCAAGTAGTAGACCCATCAGATCTGATGAAGAACTTAGAGAACGTGAAATTGTCTATAATCTAGATAGAAGGAAGGAACAGTCTATAAGAAACTATTTAACATGATAACCTTTGAACTTTCTGTCATAGGATAACCAACATGTTTTGAAAATGTTTATTTCCACAGAACTGGTTGACAGATTTGGAGGTGTTTGCCACTTTGTTCTCAGCCATCATTCACGATTTTGAACATACGGGCACAACTAACAATTTCCATGTTATGTCTGGGTAAGTGTTAATACAACATAACTAAAGGTTAGTACTTCCATGTTACGTCTGGGTAAGTGTTAATACAACATAACTACATCTTAGGACTTCCATGTTACGTCTGGGTAAGTGTTAATACAACATAACTACATCTTAGGACTTCCATGTTACGTCTGGGTAAGTGTTAATACAACATAACTAAAGGTTAGGACTTCCATGTTACGTCTGGGTAAGTGTTAATACAACATAACTACATCTTAGGACTTCCATGTTACGTCTGGGTAAGTGTTAATACAACATAACTAAAGGTTAGGACTTCCATGTTACGTCTGGGTAAGTGTTAATACAACATAACTAAAGGTTAGGACTTCCATGTTACGTCTGGGTAGGTGTTAATACAACATAACTAAAGGTTAGGACTTCCATGTTACGTCTGGGTAGGTGTTAATACAACGTAACTACATCTTAGGACTTCCGTGTTACGTCTGGGTAAGTGTTAATACAACAATCTAAAATTTAGGATCAAATATAGTAACGTAATATTTACACTTAGTTACAAAAGTGACCATAATGGAGATCGACCTTAATATTTGTAAAATTGCTAACACTTGATATTCCAAGGTTAAAACTCAACATATGTGTACAGGGTGGGCCAAAACTAATACGACACTGATGTATCAGCAATGTTATGTGTTTTTACAAGAACGTTGGCAAAAGCAAAACCAAAGATGAAATAAGTATCCTGGAACTGAGGGGGATTACGGCATGTCATGTGGATAGAGACATCTATCGGGAAATACATTTCTCGTGTTCATCTTATAAAGTCCTGTTAGTTTTCTCAAATATATATACACATATGACTAGATTAAAAAGTAGCATAACAAGAAGAATACAAGTTATAGAAATATGTATATGCATACATAATGTTTTATGTACTTACATATTATTTTTATACAAATCTAACCCATTGTTTCCCAAAAGTGTCTGTGCTGTGTTCACTTATAACCTTCGAACCGCTGGACCGATTATTACCAAGCATAGCGTGTACCATTGAACTCTCCGGATAGCGATATAGGATGTTCGGCGTTCGTATCTGACATCCTCCATATGTCACCCACGTTGGCCCCCACATATTTTCCGTGCGTTGAACGAGTACGTCATTTAATATATACAAATTTTGCTGTGTATATACAGCACTTTGCTGTGGGGTCCAAAAGCCCCCCCCCCATGATCCCCAGAGGTCCAAATGTAATAATCAAACTTCTCCATTATTTTCACTTACTTATTTAGTTACCTCAAAGGGGGGGTGGGGGTGAGTCCGTATTCGAATAAAAAAAATGTTAAGACAACTGCCCGTAGTACCTAAGCCTATGTACCCAAGATTGGTCTCGCTAGCTTGTGAGTGGGATCATGAACTCAGTTTCAAACATGGCGCCCCCGGGATCCCGAGAGTTGGCCAGAAACAGAAAATTCGATACCATAATCCTCCCTTCTCTCTCAGACCCCATCATGCCTGGTTCACCCTTCTGAGTGTGTTTAAGTCCCCTTGGTACCCACTTGTTAGGCGGCTGCGCCCTATACATAAGAACGCCCCCATCCCGATCCACACCGAGTCCGCCTACTAAAGTTTTATCTTGCTAGTTCGACAAGTTAATGTGTGATGCAAGTTTAACGAAACGCTGCATTGAATTCTGTTTGTATTTCATACCTTTCATTGCATACATAAGGATAAGATCGCTTTCAAGAATAGTTGTTGTTTTCCCTTTTAGTTCGGACACAGCCCTTCTGTATAACGACAAAGCGGTTTTAGAGAATCATCACGTGAGTGCTGCTTTCAAACTTCTTAAAGAAGAAGACAATAACATTCTTCAGAATTTCAGCAAAGAAGAATTCAGGTGTGTTTAACACCCACATGTTTCATCTAGAATACTTACATATATATAGTGTGGTTAATTGTTTGAAAGTGGTGTGTAGAATTCATTCTAGATGAAACATGTGGGTGCTAAACACACCTAATTAAAGAAACGATTTTTACTATAAGCAGTAACTTTTATTTGCTACAAAACAATTGTTTTGATATATATATATATATATGTGTGTGTGTGTGTGTGTGTGTTA